TTGATTCCCAGTATCCCCACAAAGAAAAAGAACTATGAGAGCCAAAGTACTGTCTACGTTTGAGACCTGAATTGAGATGTCTGCCCAAAACTCCTCATTTAGGGAGCTAGGTTGTTCTGCCTCTAATCCGAAGTCTTTTGCTCTGCTGGGTACAGATGACGTAAAGATGAATGTTTCCAAACTATCCCCATAATGTTAAAGGTGGGATATACTTGGACAAATTAACTTACACAGGCACATAATATTTTTAAAAAATTGTGTCTGCTGCCGGGCAGTGGTGGTGCACACCTGTAATCCCAGAAGTTCGGAGGCTGAGGCAGGAGGATCGTTGTGAGGCCAAGACCAGCCTGGGCTACAAAGTGAGCTGAAGGCCAGCCTAAGCTGCATAGCAAGACCCTGTCTCAAAAAAAAAAAAAAAACCAACAAAATTGTGTCTACTGAATGTGCACTGACTTTTTTTTTATTATTCTTTACACGACATAGTATATAACTGTTTATGTAGTTTTATACTCTATTAAGTATCATAAATAAAATTAAAAAATAAAATTTTAAAAGTATCATAATAAAGATAATTTAAAATATATAGGAAGTTATATACAAATACTGCACCATTTTATGTAAGGGGCTCCAGAGTCTGTATTGTGGTATATGAGAATCATGGCTGTATGTGATAAATGGTTTGGAAGACATGTACAAGGCCGGGTGTGGTGGCCCACGCCTGTGATCCCAGCATTTGGGAGACTGAGGCAGGAGGATTGCTGGGAATTCAAGGCCTGCCTGGGCTACAAAGTGAGTTCCAGGCCAGCCTGAACTGCATAGTGAAACCCTGTCTCAAAAAGGCAAAAAAAAAAAAAAAAAAGATGTACAGCCAGACATGGTGGTGCACACCTGTAATCCCAGCACTTGGGAGGCTGAGGCAGGAGGATTATTGTGAGTTTGAGGCCAACCTAGGCTACAAAGTGAGCTCAAGGCCAGTCTGAACTGCATAGCGAGACCCTGTCTCAAAAAGACGAAAAAAAGAAGTAACAAATGCTGGGACATGGGTAAATCTTCACAATGGAATTAGTAGTTTCTCTGGGCTGTGAATATATGCAGAGGGCTAGAGTAGGAGATGGATAAATGCAGAGGGCTGAGTAGCCTAGAAAAGTCTGACCAGGTGCAGTATCTATGAAAGGTTGCTTGGTACCGTCATGAGGATTATCCAATGTGATAGCACGTTGCTAAGCAATGCAAAACATTCACAGTAACCACCCCTGAAAAAATAATCCACCCCAGGAGCCAGGGATTTAGCTCAGTGGTGCATCACCTGCCTGGCAAGTGTGAGGTCCTGAGTTCAATTCCTGGTACCTCCCCGCAAAAATATAATCCAACCCTGCATCTCACAGAGCATGCATTTAATAATTGTAAAATAAGTTATTAGGTGCCAGACATGTGAAATGGAAAACAGGTGCTGTAGAAACTGAGAAGAAAGAAAAGTTGATGCTCACTGAAGAGAAAAGAAAGCTTGAGCAATAAGGATCGGCTTTGGGAGGTGTATTAGTTTCCTACTTGCAGCTCTGACAGATTACTACTAGTTTAGTGACTTAAAGCATCACAGATTTATTTGGCACTGATTGAACCCAGAGACTTTGCATTGAACTATATTCCCAACACTTTTTTTTTTTTTTTTTTTTTTTTTCGGTAAGAGAACGCTTTTCTTTTAAAATAGTTTTAAAGTTTTGTAAACTCTAATTTCAGGCTGGCCTTGAGCTCACTTTGTAGCCCAGGCTGGTCTTGAACTTGCAACGATCCTCCTGCCTCAGCCTCCCAAGTGCTGGGATTACAGGTATGCGCCACCATGGCTGGCCCCCAACGCTTTTTATTTGAGACAAGGTCTTGCTAAATTGCCCAGGCTTCAATTTGCCAGTCTCTTGCCTCAGCTGCCAGACAGCTGGGACTATAGGTATGAACTACCACACTTAGCTAATAACCCAGTTTTTAGACAGATCCTCCTTACGTGATTAACATGCCGTTGTGCAGAGCTGAGCAGGAATCTGACCTAAAGTTTCAAGGTTAAAAAAAAAAGGAGGCAGATACAAAATGAAAGCAGAGATGCCAAACTTTGACCTGACTTTAGTTACCGCTAGGCATCTGTAGGCCCAAGTGAATAGTCTGCTTTTTTAGCAAAAACAGATCTACTTCCCTCCCTCCTTCTGTCCCTCTCTCCCTCCCTCCCTCCCTCCTTTTCTCTCTCTCTCTCTTTCTTTTTTTCTTTCTTTTTGAGATAGGATCTCTCTGTAGTCCAGGCTGCTCTTGAACTCATGGCGATCCTCTTGACTCAGCCTTCCCAGTGCCGGGATTACAAGTGTGTGCCCCTATGCCCAGCCAGAAGCTAATTTTTTTTTTTTTTTTTTTTTTTTTTTGTCTTTTTGAAATAGGGTCTCGCTATGCACTTCAGGCTGGCCTTGAGCTCACTTTGTAGCCCAGGCTCGTCTTGAACTCGCAAGGATCCTCCTGCCGCAGCCTCCCGAGTGCTGGGATTACAGGCATGTGCCACTACGCCTGGCCCAGAAGCAGATTTTTAAATCCCTGATTTTTTTTTCAAACCCAGGGCCTTGTACCTGCACTGTACCATTGAGATACTCCCCTAGCACTCATTTTTCTTTTTTAATATAAGTGGTAGCATACTATTTATTTATTATTTATTTTGAGGGGTTTTTTTTAGAGTCTTGCTATATAGTTCAGGCTGACCTTGAACTCACTATGCAGCTTGGGTAGCCTCGAACCCCTGGCAGTCCTCCTGCCTCAGCCACCTAAGGGGATGGGATTATAGGCATGTGCCACCATTCCCTGGAATAGCGTGTGATTTATACACATCCTTTGTGTCTGATTTTTCTCCCTTTTCAGTATAAAGGAAGTAAAGTAAAGTGATTTAAGGAAAATCACTTGAAAATAATAGTGCAAGTATTATATGGGTGATCATGGCAGATGTATACATCATTATGATTCATTCAAATTCAGAAAAGCTGAATATACCCTTTATGGTAAAAACTCTGGAGTCAGAGAGATAGTCTTTTTTTTTTTTTTTCCGTGGTACTGGGGATCAAACTCAGGGCCTTGTGCATGCTAGGCAAGCACTGTATCAGTGAGCTACATCCCCAGCCCTGGAGAGAGTCTTGACCTTGACCTTGGACAAGACTTTTCTTCTCAGTGACAGTTTCATCCTTTATAAAATGAGGATTTGGTGACAATTAAATAGCAACCAAAACAGTGCTGAAGCGATAACTATGGGCTGGAGATGTAGCTCAGCAGCACAGTGCCTTGCTTGAAACCATAACTATAATATATGATAGAAAGTGGTAGGTACAGTACTTTCAAGGACAGTCAAAGAATGGTACTGCAGGAGTTAACATTAAATGGCCAAAAATAAAATCAGATTGACTTAGAAAATTCTTTGAAAGTTTATTGTAACCCAGAGACAGTGGCACACACCTGTAATCCAGCTACCTGGGGAGATGAGGCAGGAGAATTCTTGTGAGCCTAGACAATTTAGAGAAATCCTGTCTCAAAATATGAAAAGCTGGGGGGCATATGTTTGTAATCCCAGCACTCTGGGTGGCTGAATCAGGAGGATTCCAATTTCAAGTCC